GATAGCTCTTATGGCGGAGTTGAGGCCATTTGTGAGAATTGCCGATGGATAGTAGATCCTTCAGATCCGTGTTAAAATAAATTCAGTATGCCAAATTATTACATAAACGACGAAGTGCTATCAGTCTGTAATNATATAAGAGTTGCCCAGTGTATCAAAAAAGTTGTCGACACACGAAGTTTGCTAATATTTATGGAATTTCCATGCAATCTTCGAACTGCTGTGTACAGTGTGTACTCAGGTTTGTGTGTGTGATCGAGCAAAACTGCCCTCATTTCACACTGATCCGTTTTAGCATCTCGCATGACGTGAGCTACTCTCTGAATCGTCGCAAACGATGGAAACTAGAGAAAGAAATACCACAATATTTACAATCGGCAAGTCCAGAGAAGGATAGCAACAACACCTCAATACTGTTTGTGAAATTGGATCCATTACACGCACCCAAATCCTTACAATGCCAGATATTCAACGGGAATGGTACTGGACCACTAACTGTGTACAGAAGAGGAGCAGATGCAAAATCTATTCTATCTCAGTACAAATGTGATGCCGGGGAAGACAAGGAAGAAGAAAACGCTAGACAGTCCAAATCCAACCAAGAGCGAAATCGAACTAGACAGCGTCGAAATGTCACTACTGGTCGGTCTAACCGCAATCACCAGCGTGCGGTGAGCAAAAGCGGTGATTGGATGTGTATCATCGTAGAACCGAAGGCGTGTGTAGACAAACGATTCTACTATCGGATGTTTCCCCGTTGGTGGGATACGGCGTTTATCACCGATCTGATCAAAGAACGACAAAGAGAAAAGAGAATACTCAAACATCAAAAATATTGGCAGTATGCACTTTGGGAAGAGGTGTGGAAAGATTTTACTCCGGATCAACTCGATGCTGATGATGACGAAGGTTAGGAATCGTAACATGCCTTATACCTTTCGTGCCCCCACCACACACACACACACACACACACACACTACCCCGCCGCCCGATCGATTTAAGGCTCAGAGATTGCAAGCACCTATTGCGCAGTTTATAAACGATGACATTTTTATCGTGAAGCTGATGCTTTATGATGCGTTTTCAACTAAAGAAGTGTGCAATCTAGCATCCAAAACCAAGGTTATCTTTTTTCACTTATAATCTTCCGGATTAGAAACAAACGGTGAATCTCAACTAGGTCTGACAGATATCGGTGACATGATAGCTGTTTTAGAGATCGTATAGTTTTCCGAAACTTGCGCAAGCATAACAGCTCGTGTTGCATCAAAGGGCGTAACACGCCAACCATGTAGAAAACGACGACGACGACGACAACAACAACAACAACAACAACAGAGAAGAAAATCGGTAATTACAAGAGATCATAGAGAATAAATTATCGCGCAGGCTGAGACTGATTTGCCGTTGATGGGGTGCAGCTTGTGTGAAGTAGAAGTGAACTGAACTGATAAGGAACTGATTTGCATAATGCGAGCAGATGGAAAACTAAACCGCATAGCAAGATCATAACTTCAAACACATTATTTGACGTAGGATTATGGTATAACATTATTCAAGGATACACTACGAAAGAAAGTCAATGGAGGCACTGTGGAATTCCATCAGATCAACAGTTTGCATTTTGTTCACTAAAATATGATGCATGGCCAACTGATAGTGGAAATAAAGCTGCAACATGTCATGAATATGAACATCATCCCATCCCTATAACCACAAGGTGAATTGATTTTGGTGTGTTGCAGTCTATCAGCAGGCAGCTTTGATTGATCTAAAATATAAAGCATGCCAAAGCAACAAAGACCGATCTGCGTGAACGAACAGGTTTAGGGTAACGAGGATATGTGGTAAGCACTCGGACTAGTAATTCGCATACGTATCGAAATCCGCACAGTAATACTCCAAGCCAGAACTAGGACTCGGCATGAAATCAAAACACAGCACTCAACAACGGAATCCAACTGCAATCAGCCGAAAGTCGGAATGTACAAGGATATCGTGTTCAATAAAATAAAGGAGTTCATAGTTCAGGAGCAATCATCACAGAATACTATCGTTAAAATACTCGGAATGTCAATGCGCTGCTATTCGCTCCGTGAAACCCAAGCTCGAAGCTCCACTGCAAACGTCAATGCTGGACACCTGTTGCAAAATGCATCTA